ATCTGAAGTTCTGAGGCTATAGTTCAGAGAAATAGATTTGGGCATTAATCTGAGGAAAATTGAAGCAATATGCTTGGCTGGCATCAACCCAGGCTTCCATCTATGGACAGGGCATATTATCACAGAATGTGAAAGATCTGGCACTGGACTGAAAGAATCTGCCAGCTTACCTTATCAGCTACTTTTCTTGTTCTTGTGCCCAGATATATGACAAGATGCAAATTTGGGGAGGAGAGGTTTACTTTGAGTCATGGTTTGAGGGTGTATAGTCCATTAGAGAGGGGAAGGCATGCCAGCAGGCGTTTCTGCATTTGCATCTGTAGATAGCTTAGTGATGGAAAATAGTTCATAACCATAACTCCTGCTTCAGGGGATGTGATTCCACCCTTTGGCCTCCACAGGCACCTCTCTCTCTCTCTCTCTCTCTCTCTCTCTCTCTCTCTCTCTCTCACACACACACACACACACACACACACACACACACACACACACACCCACACACCCACACACCCACACACACACTCACACACAGCCCTCACATAAAAAACATATTTTTATTAATTTAATATTTTAAGTGGAACTGGTGTTGGAGAAGCTTGAAAACATGATAATACTATAACCATTTGAAGATAAGCAGTGAGATGAGAGAAACCAGAGCAATGACAATCTCGGGGAAGAAGTGGACAACGTATCAAATATAACCAACAAGAGGTGAAGAGCCCATTGCGTGTTACCTTACCACAAACTTATTAGTGATTATTACAAAGCAGCTTGAGAGGAAACAGTGGTGGAGAAAAGATGATTTCCAGGGACTTGGGGAGTCATATGAGGAATCAAACATATATCGCTATTTTGGGTAATATCATGGGGAACTGAACTCCAGATCCATATATAAAAGAGAGTGCAAGATGGTTTGTCCTAGTTACTGTCCTGTGCTGTGAAGAAACACCATGGCTAAGGCAGCCCTTATAAAAGATATTTTACTGGGGGCTTGTTCACAGATTTAGAAGATTACTCTATGATCATCATGGCAGGAAGCAGAGAGATATGCAGCTAGGGCAATAACTGAGAGTCTTACATCCATATCCACAAGCAGGAGAGAGACAGAGACAGAGAGATGAGAGACAGACACAGAAAGAGATACAGAGATAGAGAGACAGACAGATGGAGAGAGATGGCAAGAGAGACAGAGACAGAGCCACAGAAAGGGACACACACGGAGACAGAGATAGACAGATGGAGACAGAAACACAGAGAAATAGAGATGGCAAGAGAGACAAGACAGACACACAGACACATATGGAGAGAGAGACAGAGACAGAAGTGGGAGAGGAGGGTGAAGTGAGAATAAGAAGACATGGAGACATAGAGACTAGATGGCCATAGAGGAGCCTTGGGAAAAACTTTAATTTGTTTTGTGTCCTGTTGGGGAACACACAATACACATCAACACCTGAGTCATGTGAAGAAAGAGAAGGTAGCCAAAGAGAAGGGTCTCATGAGAAACACTGTCCACATGTCTATCTTAAAAATTAAATTATTTTTAGACAATTTTACACATGTACACCTTGCATAGTGGTCACTTCCACCCCCCACCTTCCCACCACTCCTGCCCACACCCTCATCCCCACAAATCTCTTATGTTCATTTTGTTTTGTGACCCACTGAGGTTAATTAACCAGGTCCATCTGTGTGATGGTGGGTTTGGAGCTGTGCTCTGGAGCCTGTAGAGGGCAGATACCTAAAGATGGTGATTTCCTCCCTCTCACAGAGTCTATCAATAACCAGTATCTCAGAGCATATCATCATCTTGAGATAATAAATTTCTATTATATTACCAGTCCTGCAGTATTTTGTTGTGGTATTTCTAACGAACAATACACACCATCTGTGTTTAAGATTTTGATACTTTGTCCATTATGGAAGTTGTGTTCATTTTGAATTTTTAAAATAGTGCTTTTATATATAATTTAACTTAGCAACTGAAGGTTTTTGTTGTGTTTTCTCTGCATCCTTCATTTTGTTGTTTAAGATACCATGTTCTGTATCTCACAAAATGTAAATACAATACAGAACCCTTGGATCTTGCTTGTGATATGTTTGAGAGATTTGATTAGAATGAGTTAAGAATACAGGGTTAGGGCTGGTCAGGACCAGCTTCCTCATTCCCTCGAGGAGGCGCCTTTACCAAGACCAAGTTCTGACTCTAGGTATAGGAATATAAAATATTTCTAACTTGCATGCTATTTTGCTTAAGATGACAGTTTTCTTGCCATAAACTAGAATAGGGAAGATTCAACATGTCATAAACTCACTCTAAACCAATCCATTTAATTTTGGGTTGAATAGGGTGTTGGGAGATTATAATTTGATAATAAATTAGAAAGTTCTGCCAATAGGAAAAGAGAAAATAAAATTCAATTTGGAGGCCACCCCCCAGCAATGGGTATAACCATCAGTTGCCTACAGTGCAGTGAATGACATGTACGTCAGAGTTTAGGCTAGTTTCTCGATATTACTCCCCATTAAATCTTTGTATTAAACCAGGCATGACAGCACATGCCTGGAATCCCAACTCTTGGGAGGCTGAGGATGGAGGACCAAGAGTTTGAGGGTATCTTGGGCCATGTAGTAAGACTCTGACTCACAAAACAAAACAAAACAGCCCAAACCAACCAACCAACCAACCAACCAACCAACCAACCAACCAACCAAACAACCAAACAAACAACAAAAAATAACAGTAAAAAGCCTTATAGCATTTCTTTGGGTTTAGGAATATTCCTTGATACTTAACAGGAAATTTAGCTTTAGAGATGGATTTAACCTGCCTTATGTCTGTATAGAATGGAATGGTGATCCATATTAGTATATTAATGGGGAAATCAAATAGTTCAAAGAGGAAAAAGCTGCTGGATCCTATACCCTATATCAAGACTCAGGAGTCTCAAGGTCTGTGTTGTATTCATGTATCCACTCATCAGTGTGTTTCCTGATATCTCTCTGACGACTGAGAACATAATCATCAAGCTGATAGACTCAATTCACATGAAACCCATATTACAGATGGGAACATAGAGATGTGAACACTGACAGGGTTCTGGTGCTATTATAGGAAATATCAAGGGCAGGTTCAGTGGCTCAGCTAGATAAACCACTTGCCACCAAGCCTGATCATAAGTTCAATCACCAGGACTCACATGGTGTATAGACAGGGAAACCAAGGTTTGGCTGAGATCCAGCTAGGACACACCTATGTCTCTGGACTATTTGTTCATAGTTTGCATTTTTACTGGTTGGTTGTGGCTACAATGGTTTTTGAACAATTTCATAATGTTTTAGTTAAGGTTTCTAATGTGATAAAACAACCAAAAGTAACTTGGGGGGAAAAGGGTTTATTTCAGCTTACAATTCTATACCATAGTCCAGCACTGAGAAAAATCAACACAGGAACCTGGAGGCAGGAGCTGATGCAGAGACCAGGAAGGGGTGCTGCTTACTGGCTTTTTCCTCATGGCTTGCTCAGCATGCTTTCTTATAGGACCCAGGACCACCAGCCTAGGGATGACACTGCCCACAGTGGACTGGGCCCTCTACATCACTCATCATCCAAGAACATGCACTGTAGGTTTTCCTACAGGCCAATATTGTGGGGACATTTTTTCAACTGATGTTCCCTCTTCCAAAATGACTCTAACTTCTATCAAGTTGACATACTACTAGCCAAGCAGTACATGTATACTTATTAGTATTGTTGTTCGGCACTTATTTTGAATGGGATTCTTGCGGACAAAGGAAAGAAGAAAGAAATAGGGATAGGCTAGCAAGGAGAAGGCTCAATAGGTTAAAAACAATTGCTGCATATGTCTAACAACCTGTATTCAATCTTTGGAACCCACATAAAATTTATGTATTTAGGAACATATATGTATACACATATACATATATGTGTAGCAACAGTTAATGAAAAAAGAGGCCATGCATTTGAAAGAGGGCAAGGAGGGGTATATGGGAGCGTTTGAAGAGAGGAAAGGGAAGGGAGGAAGATATAATCTCAAAAATAACAGAAATAATTTTTAAAAAATGAAAGGAGAAAACTGCACAAAGGTATCCTCTGACCTCATATGAGTGACATGACATATGTGTGCACACACATACATCACACATGGACACACAATATAAAAAATGAATTGAGGGTAGAGCTGGAGATATGACTCATTGTAGCCAGTCTTTCTTTGGACCAGCTCACAAATAACATGGAGGCATTATTAATTATAAAGCTTGGCCTTAGCTTAGGCTTTTCTCCAGCTAGCTTTTACAACTTAAATTAACCTGCTTTTACTAATCTGTATTTTGCCACGTGGCTTTTACCTCTCTCCCGTTATGCATTTCTGACTTGTTTCATGTCTTGCTGGCATCTCTAGTGAGCCTAGATTCATCCCGAGTTTCTCTCTTTGCTGGGAAGCTCTACCGATTCTCTCCTGCCTAGCTATTGGCTATGGAGCTCTTTGTTAAACCGATCACAGAGACACATCTTTACATGGTATAAACAGATATTCTGCAGCAGCGCAGTGGTTCAGAGCACTTGTTGCTCTTTCAGAGCACTTGGGTTCAATTCCTGGCACCCACATGGCAGCTCACAGCCATCTGTAACTCCAGTCCCTGGGGATCTGACACTAGGTACACACATGGTGCACAGACATACATGCCTGAAAAACACCCATCCACATAAAATAAATAAAATTAGAGAAAAATATGATAAAGACCAAAGTAGTAAGGAAATATTCCCATGGCCAGCACATTGGAAGGTAGCTATTTGTAGGAAAGACCAGAGTGGTTAAAAGTATGGCTTGCAGTCAATAAGCATTGAAGTATGTAAAGCTTGACAGAGACAGCAAGAATTCGCCTACAGTAGAAACTTAGAAGCTTCATCTCACCAGTGACACTACCCCTTCATTCCTGCAATGACCTCTTCCTTCCTCCAGGGGGCAGCATAAAGCTCATATGGTCCCAGGTCCAGGAGTTGCCTTCACTTCCCTCATAGATATTGCATCCCTTTGTTCCTCTTCAAGGGAACGTTGTACTCTCCATCTTCTCCTGCATTCCCATCTTGCTGGTCTGTTGGTCCTCTCTTGATCCCTTTTCCTGCTGAGACAGTCTTCAGCCAAAAGCCATACTAGAGCCGTCAGGACTACGCATGCCAGACCAATCCGAATGAGATTCTGGGTAGTATGATCCCAGAAGGCAGAGTCTGGAGTCAGAAGACAGGGTGACTGCTGACAGAGGCTGCACCCACCCCATCCTCCCTCCTCTGCTTTGCACTCCTGCTTTGCCTTGCACCTTTCCCCAGAGTCTACGCTTCCAGCTGTTCGCTTACCCTCCTGTAATCCTGATTCTTCCATCGTGGAGTCGAACACCCAATAGTCTGAGGATAAGGAAAAGAAGAAGGGATGAGTGAACAGAGGATAGTGTTGGATCCTTCCTTTGAAACATTCTTTTTTCTGTATATGCCCCATGGCATCCTATGGCTTTCCAATGTTGGTCCTCACCCAGAATTCCAAGTCCTAGGGGCTTTATATGGCAATAGAGTAGATTAGTGAAGAGATGGACGTACTCAAGTTTGGATTCACCCATAGCACTAATACATGTGTCCCCATGCCAGACGGAAACTCTGGGGAAGCCTCATTTTCCTCATCTATTCAATGTAATTTTCTTCTCACAGGAAGACAAATTCACACATGACATTTTCTTCACTGTCTGAAGTGAGCTGCCCCCCCCCCATCCCCATCATCATTTCCGTGATGCTTAGGTTTAAATGTCAATTTGCCACACTCTATAGTTGTCTGAAAAGCAAGTTCAAGTTCAAATCTAATTATTTAGATCAGGTTGGCCTATGAGCATGTCTGTGTAGGATTGCTTTAATTATTAATTGATGTGTGAAAACCTAGTTTATTGTGGATGTCACTATTCTCTGGGCATGGTTGGATGAACAGCATAGGACAGGAGAATACTTGATGAGATCAGAAACAGGTAGCATGGATGTGTTTGTTTCTCTCTGTGCTTAACTGTGGATCCAACTTGGGTCCTCAAGCTTATGTGGTGAGCACTTCACCAATAGCCAATTCCCAGGTCCTTTCTGGTGAATTTGGAAGTGACTCACCATGAGAAGAAGTAGGGTCTGTGGGTGCAAGGCTGGTGTTCCCAACACCTAGAAATAGAAAATAATTCATTTTTAAAAAGAATTTTAGGTCTCCTCCTGTATCCTTTATTCCTTCATCTTTCTCTGCCCCTCTGGTATTCCCAAGTGGCTGGTTGGATCTTTAAGAAGCAGGGAACTCTTTACTATCTTTAAAAAAAAATCACTGTCAAGGGTATCCTCTAGGGCTGTGGTTAAGATACAGGTGAGAGTGTCCTTACCTGGGATGAGGAGTGTCACAGGCTCACTGGGGAAAGACCATGTATAGTCACTGTAAGAGCCAAAACATCTGTATGTCCCCCTGTGGGCTCTAGTCATAGGGCCCATGGGGAACTCTGCTTGGCCGTTCCCATATCTTTGCTGGACATGGTTGTATCGTCCTTCCTTGAGCAGAAAGAATTTGCTTGTCCCAGCCACCAGATGGCAGAAGAAGGTCACATTCTCCCCCAAGGTTACTTCGTGCCCTGGGTGAACCTGGAGTTTGGGTGTGTCATACAGACCTGTGGGAGAAGGAGAGCTGGTATATAGAGAGCATTATCACACCCTGACTCCTCAATCTACTGCTTCCCTGTCCCTGTGACCAAATATCACTCCTTGGAATCTGGGCTGCTTCTGCTTCCTAAACTTGTGCTTGTCACAGATAGATCCATTATTCTTTAGGACTGAGGGACTTAGGCCATAGCTTCTGCATCTCTACTCTTTGGCTCTGAATTTGTTCCTCAGGACCAAAACCACTCACATTACCTAGAAGCCTGAAGATGCTCTGCCCCTACCCAGAACCACTGCTTCAGAAACTCTAGGACAGCCTTTTACATTTTAAAAATTATCATTTTTTGATATTATAATTACACCATTTCCCCTTCCCCTTTCTCTCTCCCAAACCTCCTATATACCCCCGCTTGCTCCCTTTCAAATCGGTGGCCTCCCTTTTTTCAGTAATTGTTGTTACATACATATCTGTATATGTATACATATATACATATATATACACACATATATACTTACACACACACACACACACACACACACACACACACACACACACACACACCCCTGTGAACACACGGACTGGCACACACTTGTGCAGAGGCAGTCAACACATGACACCACTACAAAGCATTAGTATCCTTCACCTCTGGAACTTTTCCTTCTCAAAACCAGAAACCTTTATACTATTAAACAACTCCCTTTCTGCCTTCCCAAGATCTGGCAACCTCCCTTCCACATTCTTTGTCTCTGTGAATTCGACTGTTCCAGGTAACTCAGTTAAGTGCAATCAGACAGTATTTGTCTCCATTAGCATAATGTCCTTGGTGTTCAGTCACGTCATAGTGTGTGCCAGAATTTTCTTCCTTTGCAAGGTAGAGTAATATTCCACTGTATGGATATACCACATTTTGTTCATCCATTTATTCACCAAGAGACAGTAGTGTTATTACTTCCTTTTGGTATTATTTAGTTTACTGATTTATTTAGTTTCTCTATTTTTTCCTCTGTGTGATTGTGTGTGGTATATGTAGTGTATGCTCCTGTGTGTGTATCAGTGTGTGTACCTGTATGCTCATGTGTGGAGGCCGGAGTTGGGTGTCCTGCTCTTTCATTCTTCATCTTATTCCCTGGAGACAGGGTCTATAGAACCTACAGCTAGGCTGGTGGCTCTGAGGCCACAGCAATCTGGTGTTGGTCCCTGCCCAGTTCTAGTGTTACAGGCACACCTGACTTTTTATGTGGTTTCTGGGGACTTGAATTCAGTTTCTCATACGTGAACAGCGAGCTCTCTTATTCATGAACCGTCTAACCGGTCACCTTTTAGCTACCGTGTTTAGCATTTAGTAATACTCCCATGAACATGCATGTGCGAGAGCTATCTGTGCTTTTACAAGGTCTCAGATAGTTTTCAAGCTTGGATAAATTTGAGAACCATGTGTGTGGCTACATTTTCTGATGAAACTCCATCACAGGCCAACCTCTTCCTGCCCAGCTTTGGTTCTCTTGTCTATCAGTCCTTAGTCTTACCCCAGCACACAGTGTACTATTTTAGAAACATCTTTCAGAGATCTTGACCTAAGACACATTTGATGCCAGGACAGAGAGCCGACCCTTGTAGTTTACCCTTGTAGGAAGTAGCTGCGATTGGGCACATCCCCTGACTTCCAGCCAAGATAAGCAGTGTCAGAGTGGGGCTTAAAGAGTTTTTGGTATTTGTGAGCACAGGCACTCCCCATGATTCATACCAACATGCCCCTCTCTATAAAAACCAAGACACTCACCAGTAACTACCAGAACCAGGGGATCGCTGGGTTCTGATTGAAGCTCCCCACTCTGATAGAAGCAAGTGTACTCCCCTGCAGTGTGTAAGGTCATTTGTGGAATGAAGAAGTTTACTTTGCTCCTTGATCTACGTGACTCTGGTCTCTTCAAGGCCCAGATGCTTCCTCTAAAGTACAGTTGATAGTCAGAGGCACTCTGAGGCCCCTGGCACCAGATGTACACAGGGGTTCCTTTTGTGACCCTGGTACTGGGTTGGGCCCAGATGATGGGCTTCAGGAGATTCTCTGAAAAGGAACCAAAGGCAGGAGTCCCAGGTGAACCATTACCTATCTACTCTGCTTACCCTCAGCCACCAGCTTGAGGCCATCCATCATAGTGAGGCAGAATGCTCATCTCTGTTTCTGGAATGTTCTCAGATGGACTCTGAGATGAACCTGAGGTGAACGATCCTGAGGCTCTCAAGGGAGGAAGGACTTACGTTTTTCTGTGTTGATCCTCTGGCTCAGACATAGCTCTAGAAAACAACAACAATGATACAATGTCTCCCCCCACTCCTGCTCTTGATTCCACCCCCCCTTTTATGAAGGACTTACGGAGGCAGAGTAGGGCAGTGAGTGTGGACGGCATACCACTGGCGAGACCAATGCTGAACCATGTGTGTGTGTGTGTGTGTGTGTGTGTGTGTGTGTGTGTGTGTGTGTGTGCGCGTGGACCGAGTCCAGTGGGTGAGGGAGATGCACAGGATGTGGTGGGTGAGCTCCAACACCAATCACCATGGGACTTTGACACATTTTTTTTTAAAACAGAAAAAGTCACAGATCTCCGCTGACCTTGGGCTTCAGGCAAAGTTGTGGTTCACACAACACATTTAACCACATTTTGAGTCTAAAAGGTTCCCTTGACCATCATCTGCCCAGTCTGAAACCCGTTTCTTGGTCAACCTTTAATTCATTTGGGGAAGGCATGGGGGAGATTTACAGAGCAAAATGTCTGAGGATTTCCCAAAATGGGAATTTTAACTGTGTGCAACATGCATGTGTTTGGATTTGATGATTGGTTTAATCAGAAAGCAACACTAATGTGTTATTAAAATTTTTGCTATTTTATTCCAGTACAATGCTCTATTCTATTATTTTTATTTTCATGTGCATGTGTGGTGTGCATATGTATGTGAATGTATGTTTGCATGTATATAGAAACATCCATGTACACGTGTGCATGTAGAGGACTGCGGTTGATGCCATGGATCATCTTTGCTCTTCCACCTTATTCACTGAGGCAGGGTCTCTCAATCAAACTCAGAGCTTACCAATATCTCCCTAGATAACTGGTCCTGGGGATTCCTTGCCTCTGCATTCCCAGGCTGGAACTACAAATGGGTTTCCATGTCCATATGATGTTTTATGTGGGTTTTAGGGAGCTAGACTCAGGTCTTTATTCTAGCCTTGCAAACATTTTAATCACTGAGCTATCTCCCCAAACTTATTAGGTGTGTGTGTGTGTGTGTGTGTGTGTGTGTGTGTGTGTGTGTGTGTGTGCACATATCTCTGTATTTTTGGATACAATGTTCCTCAAGAGCCAGGAACTTGCCAATAGGCTAGGCAAGCTGACCCATAAGCCCTAGGCATCCACGTCTTGCCTCCCCAGCACAGTGATCATAAGCCTGTGTTACCACCCTTGGTTTTATGTTTTAGAGATTTCATTTTAAATTATGTATGTCTATGTGTGGGTATGTGCACGTGAGTGTGGTGCCTGTAGAGGCCTCAAAAGGGCATAGGATTCCCTAGAGCTGGAATGACAGGTGGTCGTGAGCCTCCTGACGTGGGTGATCTTCACTGTTGAGCCATCCTCCCAGGTTCTACCTGGCTTTGGGAGATTGAACTGAGGTCCTCATAGTTGGAAGGCGAGCATTTTACTGACTTGTTGGTCAGATTGCTTTCTCTCCCTTTCTCCTCCATTAATGTTGGGGTTTGCTGGTTTACTATGTTGGACACCATGGATCCCTTCTTCCTGTCTCGCTTATCTCTTCCTCTCATGAAATTTATTATTTCCTGTACCCTTGGGACTGAGAGCATCTTTCTTCCTCCTATGTGCATGATACTAATTTTGTCATCTTCCGTGAGGCTTGCTTGGTGGTCATGACCAGCCTCAGTTTGTGTTTATCTTGAAATATCCTTACTTCCTTGTCAACTTCCTGGCAAAACTCTCCTGGATATAGCAACATTAGTTGAGTTAATTGATTTCAAGTCTTGAAATACATCATCCCACACTTTTCTGCCTTTTGGGTTGCTGAGAGAGCTTACATTATTCTGATATATGTGCCTTTATAAATGAGCTGGTGTCTTTCCCTTGTGGCTTTTAATAGTCTTTCTTTGTTTTGTGTTTTTGATATCTTGACTGTATTATGTCATGCAGAGTTCTACTCTGATCATGTCTATTTGGAGTTCAAGATAACTCTTGTGTTTGGATGTCTGGGTCTTTCTCTAGACTTAGGAAACTTTCTGCTCTAAGTTGATTTTATAGGTTATCTAGACCTGTGATGCATTTGACAACGTTCTTGCCGTCTGGTGGGTTCTCAGGTTTTGTCTTTTCATCACTGTTCTACTTTCACTCTAGTTGCTGTGGTAAGTTACCCTGGCAAAGGAAACCTAGGGGAGAAATGGTTTATTTAGCTAACACTTCCACATTAAAATCTACCACAACTGGAGCGTTAAGACAGGAATTCACACCCCATTTTCTCAAACTCACAATTTCTTACATTTTTGGTTGTGAGCATTAGCCTTTAATGGCGGAACCATCTTGCCAGCCCTCATGATTTCTTTAATGCTATAAATGTTTACATAATTTCTTTGAGATTTCCCCAGTTTTATTAGCATATGTTAATTGCATAAATAAAGCTTTTGGTGTGACATTTCCTTATAGGCATGAACTGTTTCGTGGTCCTGAAGATATCCATCCTCTCTGTTACTTTTTATTACCCCTCCCATTTTCTCCTTCCACATCTCTAATAATCCCCATTTTACTTTTATGTCCTTTTCCCACTCCAAATACATATATAATAGAAAATATATGTTTCTGGTGTTTGTGAGACTGGTTTATTTCTTCTAACTTTTTGAAATATAAATTATTGGTTCAATAGTGTCAAATACATTGATAACTGTTACAAGTCAGAATGCTAGCATCTTTTAAAGTTGTAAATGTCAACTTTGTGCCCCAAATGAAGTTGTCATTTAATACAGTTTCACACTTCCCAAATAGGATTGGATTATGACCTTCATTTGTTCTTGTCTTTATATATTTAATTTACATTTGGACAAAACTAATAACAAGACAAAGGAGGGGACTTACTATTGCATGCCTACCAGTTATTTATAATTGGTAGATACACATTAAAAAATCCAAATCCCAGTGTAGATGGGGAATGGGTTTCACAAAGTTCCACCCCTAGCTGAGGAACTGTTTCAGCAATTGATGGCTGCTGAGAGAGGGAGTCAATATTTCCCCTAGGGTACAGTCATTGAGAGGCAGCCCATGTTTCAGTGTATGGCTCTATCTCCAGACATATACTGGTCATACTAACTAGACTCAGTGAGTTTTAAAATACAGTATATGAATTAAGTAAGGGATGGGGGAGTGGTGGTATGGAGAAGGAAGTAATTAAAGGAGTTGGGAGTGGATTTTATCAAAATATATTCACATATGGAATTCTCAAACAGTAAAAATAAAAATATAAAGAAGGGCCGGGCGGTGGTGGCACATGCATTTAATCCTAGTACTTGGGAGGCAGAGGCAGGCGGATCTTTGTGAGTTTGAGGCCAGCCTGGTCTACAGAGTGAGATCTAGGAAAGGCACAAAGCTACACAGAGAAACCCTGTCTCGAAAAACCAATATATATAAAGAAGAACTACAAAGAATAAAGAAGAAAACCTGAGAAGTAAAAGAGAGGTCCTAGCCTGGTGGTGCAGACCTGTTATCCTAGCTACCCAGGAGGCTGAGGCAGGAGGGTTGTGGTGATGCTACATAAAAGAAGAAAGACTCTTGGTTTCAGTTACTCAAGCATGGGCCTGATATGCTCAGAAGGGTTTCTGTCTCTCATGTTCTAAACTAATATTTGTTTAATCTAAAAGAAGCCCAGTGTAAAAGACAACTGTGTAATCTAAGAAGTAGTGTGAATAAAGACCATACTCTGTATATACCAAACAGCACAGCAAATACAATAACAAAAAAGAATGAGGAATTGTTGTCTTAATTTACAGGAGTCTCATAAGGTAGAAAATTATGTTCCTGGCCCTGCTTACTCAGAACAGCACACAAAGCCATAACCACACATCATCAGTCTATACCCACTGAGGTTTCCAACATATTGTGTGTGTGGGTCATTGCTTTCAATGGTCACCACATCTCCCTTCCTCCCACCCCCTCCTCACATTCACACACTTTTTGAGTCAAGACATAAATGTGTCACACATGTGAAATAGGAAATGTGGTAAAATTGAGGTTGTGCATTCAGCTGAGCTTGAAGGCATTGCTTACATTATATGTCCAAAGTACAATATGATTGATTGTAAGCTTATCCTAGAGGTCAGCTAATTTTGAACAGGCTGAGTATATAGGATGTCAGAAGAATTAGTACATAGCTATGAAGATCTCAAAGCACATTATTGATTATAAATTGGACGAGAGTTTGATGTGTAAAGGCAAACTGTAAATAGCATTTCTCAAAAAAAAAATTCTTACAGAGGATCACAAGTTTGAGGTTAGACCAGGCCACAAAGTGAGTTCAAGTCTAGCCTGGACAACTCTATGAAAACTGCTCTTAAAATGAAGAGAGGGCTGGGGATGTAACTCAGTTGTAGAAAACTCATCTGGCATGCATGAGACCTTCAGTTCAACCCCCAGTATCACAAAAGGAGGAAAATAAAAAGGATGTTAAAAAGATGGAAAATTATAATTATAATCAATGGTCTTGGTTTGCTTTCTACAGCTGTAGTAAAACACCATGACAGAAGCAACTTGGGGAGGAAAAGATTTATTTGGCTTACAGGTTACAGTCCGTCATCAGGGGAAGCCGAGGTAGGAACTCAAGGCCGGAACATGGATGCAGGAACTGAAGCAGAGGCCATGAAAGAGTGATGTGTACTGGTTTGCTCAGTTTGCATTTTATTAAACTCAGAACCACCTGCCCAAGGTGGCGCCACCCACAGTGATCTGTGGCCCCCCCACATCAATCATTAATCAAGAAAATGTCCTACAGATTTGCCTACAGGACAATCTGATTGAGACATTTTCTCAATGGACATCTCCTCTTCCCAGATAACCCTAGCTTGTGTCTAGTTGACTGCTCCCTTCCCAAAAAACACAACCCCCCAAAAAAAAACAATAAAAAACTAACCAAGGGAAGGGAAAAATGATGTAGTTATATTATAATCTCACAAATAAAAGAAAAATATATTAAAAAACTAACCCTCATACTAACCAGTAGAGAAGAAATAGCATCAGAGCCACCTAGGACCACACCGTCTGATAACTCTGTGTACTACAGATTTTTTTTTGTCTTGAAAGAAAGGAAGACAAGGCTAATTTTGGCCCATGTTTTCAGAGAGAGTATTCTATTATGGCAGGAAAGCATGTAATAGGAAAAGTTCCATGGGAGTGACAGTGGCAAAGAGCTAGATGGGAACCCAAAGTGAGCATAACCTTCAAAGAGTAGCCTCCAGTGGCCCACATATATCACATCTCCCCAAACAGCACCCTCTGCTGGGGAGTAAGTGTTCAAACACATGAGCCTGTGATGGACACTTTACACTCGAACCTTACATTCTGCAGATGGATCCAAGCTTCTAATGGCTTTTCCTTCTTGCAAGATGTATCCCCACCTGTAGCTCCCAGTGTTTACCCACAGTCACTGTTTGCTCCATCTCTGTCCAGCCAATTCCTGAAAGTCTTCCTTGTGTGATACCCTGTGGCTCTTCCAATCTTCAGCTAGTATCACCAAGAGAACCACAAGGACCAGCCCTGCCACACCCATCCGGATTGAATTCTCCATCATGGAATCTTGCTTGCTGGAGTCTAGAGACATAAGGGAAAGAAACGTGTAATTATTAGCCATGATCCATTCTATCTCACTTCTACATCCCTAAGTAGGGACTCTTTCCCATATACATTGCCCAAACCCGGTCCTAGCCCTTTTTTAATGAGCTCACATATTCACAGTCACCACACCTCTAGGGTGTGTGAGCTAGAGGAAGACCAAGGGTGAGAAGTTGTGGTTCCAGGGAAAGGAGGTGATTATGGGGAGCTGGTGCTTTGTTTTTCTCACCTCATTTGGTCATTTCATTGGCCACCCAACTGTATCTCTTCAATACCTCCCTGTGTCAGGAGCTCTGAATTTTTTCCTTCATACTTTCCTCACCCTACATGACAATTTACGTTCCTCTCAAATGTGGCAAAATAGACACACGGTCACTGCAAGATTTAAGATAAGTTTAGCTAAAACGCGCCTCTGTGGAGCCAGTTGTCTCATGCATGCCAGGCAGGTGCTCTGTCGCTCAACTTCACTCCAACTTCTCATTTCCAATTATTGTGTGACGTTTGTAGACACTGATGCTCAAGTGAGCTACTTATTTTTATTTTTTCACAGGTTAGTTGGTCTCTATCTTTATAAACCAGTTTCCCCCGCCCCCATGGCTGTAATGTAATATGTGAGCTGACAATGTTCAGAAAAATTCAATGTTCAATAATATTCTCCTGTTAAACGAGGGTTTGTCTAGCATGCATAAGTTTGTGAGACTCTGTCTCAGAAAAAACAAACAGATTCCACGACCTAGTCAATTATATGAAATGTGATTTTTTTCCTTTTATCATTATCATGAACATGCATTTTAAGATTTAGTTTGGTTGAGTTCATTATTTCTTTTCTTTAGAGCAAGCAGGTCCTGTATCTTGTTTTAGAAGCCATTTCCTATGTCAGGGTCAAGGTAATTATCTTCTGTGGTCTCCCACAGGATATACTTGGCAGTTAAGCCTCTAATCCATCAGCAATGTGTTCTTGTTTAATTGAACTCTAATTCTTCTGTATGGAAATCCAGTTGTCTCTATGCCACTCATTGAAAAGACCCATCTAGCTTTACAATATTGCAACACATGGCTACCACACTGCACAGCTCACAGCATCACTGGGGTGATGATACTTTTTTCAAAAGACGGGCAGGAGAAGCAGAATGTGGTCAACCCACTCAGCTATCAGCAACTAGTTTCCTCTGCCAGAAATCTCACCTTTTTTTTTTTGCTCCTACAAGTGCAGTTTTATATGTCAACAACATAATAAATGAGTCTTATGATTCAACCTTTATATTCAGTCACTCCCAGTGGATTCTCAAAGTGAATTTAAAGATTACTAGCTACTAAAATAAGTGAATCTGAATGTGGGCCTCTCCTTTATCAATAGACTGAGAAGATGGAGGGATGGTGCAGTGGTTAAAAGAATTTGCTGCGCTTGCAGAGGTCCTGAGTTCAGTTTCCAGCACCCACACTGGATGGTTCAGAATCACCTGTAAATTCAGCTCCAGGGAATCAATCACCCTCTTCTGGCCTCCACCAGTATTGTGCACACACACACACACACACACACACACACACACACACACACACACACACAGAGAGAGAGAGAGAGAGAGAGAGAGAGAGAGAGAGAGAGAGAGAGAGGAATCTTTGAAAACAGATCACAGGTTTCTGAAGGGTATTTTGGAAGACTTCAGAAAACATGTGAAAAATTCATGTGGAGCAAGTGAGAAGCCCCTTTCTCCTCATGCTCCTCAGGAGAGTGAACCTTTACTGCCATACTCCTCTATCTCAGAACACCTCTTCACACTCCCACCTACAGGCAGCATTGGTGGAAAACAAAGAGCTGGGCTGTGATGATCTACCTGTGACAATGATCTCCAGGGCATTACTGGGGGCTGACCACACATGGGGGCTGCTGCTGTGCCAACCATAGCACCTGTAGTTCCCAGAGAAGCCAGCGCTCACAGGACCAAGACTGAAGTTTCCTTGATACTCTTCATGTTGGTGCCGTGGCGATGAAGTGTCTCCCTCCTTGGCCAGTGAAAATCTGCTGAACAGGGTGTGTGCTGAACTGCACTGGAAAGAAATGTTTTCTCCTGGTATCAGCGCAAGGCTTTGATCTGTGGAGAGGACAGGTTTGTCGTATAAGCCTGAAAGAGAAGACATTGAGCTGTTAGCAAAATTTTGTTCTTTAAACAATAATTTTCAGGGGCTGGGGGCAGTGGGTCTGCAGTTAAAAGCACTGGCCGCTCTATCAGAGTGGCGACTGCTTGTAACTTCAGTTCTAGGGGGTTTGATGCCCTCTTCTGGCTTCCAAGGGCACTGCATTCACATGGTCCACTGACATGCACGCAGGCAAAACATCCATATACAGAAAATAATAAAAAATTCAGTTGATGGTGCTGGAGAGAGGGATCAGCCATTAAGAGCACTGGCTGCTCTTTCAGAGGTCCTGAGTTCAATTCCCAGAACCCACATGGTGGCTCACAACCATCTATAACTGCAGTCCCATGGGATCCAATGCACTCTTCTGATGTGCAGATATACATTCAGACAACACACTCATATACAGAAATAAATAAATCTTTTAGCAAGAAAAACAGTTCATTTGAGTAAATTGACTCAAAGATGTTCTCCTTTTGCTATTTTAAAAAATTATTTGCAGCCAGGCATTATGGTTTGTGGATGTAACCTCAGCACTTGGGAGGTGAGGTAGGAAAATCACAAGTGAAGGTTCCTGTGGGATACTGAGTGAGACTCTGTCTCACAAGTAGAAATTTTATGGAATCAAATAAATCTGGGGCATGTGATGTACAACAGGGTTGTTTCCAACCATGAAGACAAAAATGAATACAACTGGAGATTATTATATTAAGTAAATTTAGTCAGACTCAGAAAAATCATGTTTTCTCTCATTTGTGGATCATAGACTTTTATATAGATACATAAATTAATGCATGACTATATGATGTGAAAAGAGAAGCAGTACTAAACACACACACACACACACACACACACACACACACACACACACACACACACAACCCGACAAGAACAAAAGCAAACTTATTGTTTGTTAAGGGGATTGAATCCAGGGCTTCATGTATAAGAGGCAAACACCATACTACTTTTCATTATTGACTTTTTCCCCTAATTTTTAAAGATTTTAAAAAAATTAAATATAATTTGTTATTGATTCTTTGGGGAATTGACATCATGCGCTGCAATCCCGCTCATTTCCCAGTCCTTCCATATGTGCTGTTCCCCCTTGCAGCTCCCCCCAAAGAAAAAAACATTAATTACCAAACAAAAAAACCACAAACACTTCACTCCTTTGTCTTTCCACCTCTCTAACACCTCTTCGCTCATCTTAGTGGCATTGGGAGCTGCGGTGTGTCGCACAGTAGACCCTTTTGTCCCAATGGCTTTACTTGCAGTTGTCCATTGTAATAGGTTGTTGGTCTGGTTCAAGGCCTCTGGCTTTTGGTACACCATCAATACTGGCCCCTCACAAAACTCCTTTTAAGTATCCCGCTCTTGCCCAGAGTCATGGAGATCCCGCAGCTCTGGTTCCACAGGACCAGTCCCTTCATGTGCTCCATAGATGGGGTAGATGTTGGGGTAGGCCAACTCAAAGCACTGGATGTGATACCTGTGTAGTAGCTGAGCTAGTCATTCCTAGCCTCTGCTGGGACCACACCCCTCAGGCAAGGAGCAGAGCTAGCTCTCCTGTGTTCCCCACCATCGGGGTCGGCTCTCCTGTGAGGGTTGTGGCCAGATCTCCTAGGGCCATGTGGGGTGGGGCCAAGTCTCCTGCTGCAGCAGCCAGGGAGGGGCAGGACCAGCGAAGTGTGGGGCCAGCTCAGCATGTCCCTTGGATTTCGACATGCATGATTTGCATTCCCTCCTCCCCCAGGTGGTAACGTGGGCCACAGACATCAACACAGACCCCAGCTGCAGCAGGACCATGGACCCAGACATGGCCCTTGGCAGCAGCTCCAACTCAGATGTCACTCTGGTTCTGGGGCAGGACAGGCCACACAGATCAGTATGGCCCCGGCAGCAGCATGGCCACAAATGGCCGCTCAGACCCCTGGCAGCTGTATAGTCTTTGATGCTAACAGGAGCTACAGACATCAACACAGACCCTGGCTGAGGCAGGCCACAGATGCAGACATGGCCCTCCGTAGTAGTTTGGGCCTGGATGTCACCATGGCTCTGGGTGGCAGCACAGGCCAAGATCAGTATGATCTGGGGGCAGCATGGCACTCAGACACCAACACGGTCTCAGGTGGTGACCCAGATGCTCGGCATCGGCACGGCCTTCAGTGGTAACAGGAGCCATGGACATCCACACAGATCCTGGCTGCTGTAGGGTCACAGACCCAGGCATGGTTCTTGGTAGAAGCCCGGCTGAATATCACCATGGCCCTGGGTGGCAGTTCAGGCCACCCACATCAGCCTCTTCCTGACTGCCTTTGCTTCCTCGGTTCTGCCTCTCTCTCAGCACATGATCGGCTCTGCTTCTCTTTCTCTCCCATTTCTCCACCATATAGTTGCCTTGAGGTGCTGGCAGGGCCTGTGGATGAATTCTACCTACCCAGGCTAAGCAGGGCCAGGCAGGCTTGTGGGTCGATTTTTTTATTTATTTAAATTTTGAGACAGGGTCTTGAAATGTAACTCAGATTCGCTTTGAACTTATGATCCTTCTGTCTCACCTTGAGTGCTGGGATTGCTGGTGTGTACCAACACACCCAATTTTTCATCCCTTCTTGTCCCCTGTCCGTCTCTCCCCTCCTCTCCCTTTCCCTCCCCTCCCATTTCCACTCTCTCTCTCTCCTCCTGTCATCTTCTCCTCACTCCTTCCCTTCCTCTGCCCCTTTTCTGTTTCTGTCAAAAGACTCTCATGTCGCCAGGGCTGACCTCAAATTAACTATGGAGCAATGGATGACCTAGAACTTCTGCTTCTCCTGCCTCCACCTCTGGAATTACTGGGTTACTAGTGTGTATCATCACATCTGGCTTATTTTTAAAACTAAAAAGGTTTTGTGTGTTTATCATGTATACTATGATGTTGTGTATCTATCATGTAAACCATGACGTTTGATACATGTATACATTTTGTAATGGCTAATCAGAGTGAACAGCACATATATCACCTGACACAGTTATGTTTTTTTTTTTTTTGTGGTAAGAACAGTTGAAATACAACATGCATCACCTCTGGTTTTCTTGTAATGACCCATGACCCAGTGTAGTCATGGGAAAAGGAGAAAGGTATCAGGCAATTTCTAAGAATGGAAAGTCCCAGAAAATACTTACCCACACTCTTCAAAACTGTCAAGGCTATCAAAAGCAAGAGAGAGAACTAAATACAATGTGAGATCTTGGATGGGGTCCTGGAGTAGATAAAGGCCATTAGATAGCAACTAAGGAACTCTGAATATACTTTAGATACCAGCTAAGAGAGATTAATATTTATTCATTCATTCTTGATCTTCTCAATCTTCAACATCTTCTTAGTTTTTCTGAACCTAAAGCTATTCTAAAAATATGTGAGGTGGGGAGGATCTGGGAAGAATTGGGGGAGGGAAAAGAATATGATAAAAATGTGTTGTATGAAAACAATTTAAATAAAAATTAAAAAGTATGAACATCATTGAATGCAGAGACTCACAACTGCCCAAGATATAGAGAAAAAAGATGGCTGTGGTCCCAAACATACACAAGATATTTATACCATCCCTGTCTAAGACTCAGGGAACACTGTCCAAAGGTGAGTGGGAAGTATTTAAGAGTCAGAAGACAGGGTGAGGGCTAGTAAATGTCATTTTCTAGACTTGACAGAACCATCCCAATTATTAACATACAACTGTAATTACCTGCATTTGGTCCACACAAGAGCAACCCTGTCAACAGTAGGTCAAGGAAGCAGGGGACTTGGGGGATGAGGGAGTTTTAATCAAGGGCTCTTGCCCTTCATGATGGAATTACTGGCTATTGACAGACTCTGGGAGAGGGGGATCATTGCCTTTAGTTGTGTACCTACCGAGGAGCCCACCAGGCTCCCGACGTTATCTACAAACCCTTAGTAATAGGAATGGCCCTGGTCAATCTCAGTGAGTCACAAAGCAAAATGAATAGAAGTGGGAGTGAGAGTGGTTAGTATGCATTGTGTGCACTGTATGAAGTTACCTACTGACAATTGTGATTAACAAAAGTAAAAACAAAAACCAAAGTCTGGTTCATAGTTCATGTGTTTCCATTCCTTTGGCTATTTGTCCCTGTGCTTTATCCAACCTTGGTCTCAACAATTCTCGCTCATATAAACCCTCCTCATTCTCGCTGATTGGACTCCCAGAGATCCACCCGGGGCCTAGTCATGGATCTCTGCATCCAGATCCCTCAGTAGTTGGATGAGGTTTCTAGCACAACAATTAGGGTGTTTGGCCATCCCATCACCAGATGCCTGAGGGGTCCCCACTGGATCAGGCCCTCCGAATGGGTGAGACAGTTGATTGGCTTGATCTGTTTGGGAGGCATCCAGGCAGTGGGACCGGGTCCTGTGCTCATTGCATGAGTTGGCTGTTTGAAACATGGGGCCTATGCAGGATTGTTTGGCTCGACCTGGGAGGAGGGGACTAGACCTGCCTGGACTAAGTCTACCAGGTTGACCTCAGTCTGTGGGGAAGGCTTTGCCCTGGAGGAGATGGGAATGGGGGGGGGCGTTGGGGGGAAGGTGAGGGGGACGGGAGGGGGGGAGAACAAGGGAATCCGTGACTGATATGTAGAACTGAATTGTATTGCAAAATAAATTAAAATAAATTAAAAAAAAAAACCAAAGTCTGCTCATTAAGACAAAACTATCTGAAGGCCAGGTTCCCAAGATGTCTCCTTACCTGTCACCACCACCTCCAGGGGTTTGCTCCGCTCTGACCAGTGGTACTTCGTCTTATACTGACACTGATAACCTCCTGCCATGGTTGTATTCATGTGGTTGATGATGAATTCAGCCTCCTTCTGAAGTCCTAATTTCTTCTCGATGACTGTGTGTGTGGAGTTTTTCATCAGGGACAACTGATACAGGAAGGCTTCGGGTATTCCCCGGCAGAGAATCCTCACAGAACCATTCCAGGGAACCACAGGACTTGTGGCAGCAGATATGGTAGGAATGGGAAGTTCTGAAAGGAAACAGAGCCTAGGCTCAGATGGCTTGCAGAAGCTACTTTATTTCATCTGTGTTGGGGGCCATGAGTTAAACTGCAAAGGACCTATAACCATTTCAATTTAAAATAGTATTGTTGTGTCTGGAGATAAATCTCAGTTGATGAAGTGCTTGACTTGCAAGCTCTGTGCTTGGATTCATTTCTTTTTCTTTTATATGCATTGGTGTGTTGCCTGCATGTGTGTCTGTGTAAGGTGTCAGATCTTGGAGTTACAGACAGTTGTGAGCTGTCACATGGGTCCTGGGAATTGAACTGGGATCCTTTGGAAGAGCAGCCAGCACTCTTAACCATTGAGGCATCTCTCTAGCCCCCTTGATTTGCAAGAATGAGCACCTAACTTTGCCTCCCCAGAACCCATACCAACAACCGGAAGTGGTGAGGTGCACTTATAAACCCATTTTGGAGGCAGAGACAAGCAGATTCCAGGGCTTTCGGGCCAGCCAGGCTAGCTTAATCAGTGAGCCCCACACCAGTGAGAGATTCTGCTTCAAAGAACAGCAGTTAATGTGGAGACTCATGGTTGCCTGTGATGCTGATAATTTGTGAAGGCTGAGTGTACAGCCCTAAATGGGACACTTAAACAACCTCCTGTAAGTCTCAGGGAACATAATTGGAAAGTGTGTGGAGAGTAAGTCAGAGGTGGAAGATAGGGAGACGAGCTGTCAAATGTCATCTTTTGGGGCTGACATGGCCAATGCAAACATATTTCACAGCAGCAGCAGCTGCCAACAAAGAGCCTGCAGAAGACAGCTTGTCAAAAACTAATGAAAGATGGGAGAAGAGCCCACCTGGCCTCACCCCTCTTTGCTGAATTATTGATTACTAATGGATTCTGAGGGAGGGGTAGGCATTATCTTGAGTTATGTACCCACTAGAGAGTCCAGCAGGCTCCAGTGGATGCCTATAAACCCATAGTTACTCAGGAGGCCCTGGTCAAACTCATTGGGCCATACACACACACACATACAACGCCCCCCTACACCAAAAAGGCATGAACATGTGAAAGAGACTTGTAGGGAAGAAGTGGAGGGTAAGGGGTGTAGGAGGGAGGTAAGAGAAGGTGTGGGAGTGTCATCAATAAGAATTCACTGTATACGGGTATGAACTTGTCAAAGAACAAGTGTAATTAAATATTTTTAAAAGAACAAGAAGGTGGACATCACCTGAAGGGGAACAACAGCAATTTTGTCCTGTGTCCACTATATGCACACAAATGTGCATGCTCACCTGCACATGCATGAACAACCCTCCCAAAGAAAGCAGTTGTTTTAGGGTATATTTCATACATTGAAATATATACAGGGTTTTACTATGCAGTTTCAAACTCACAACCATTTTGCCTCCCAAGAATTTGGGTTACATATGTGTACCACCATTGCTAGGCTTTTTTAAAAAAATGACTGTTCATGTTAATTTAGTTGCATTGATTGCTTCATCATGCTGTACAATCATCATCACCATTTATGATGGTTTCACAACCTCAGATAGAAACCCTGTAACCATGAAGCAGTAAATTGCCACTCTCCCTTAGTCAGCATCTGGACTTCAAACCCATTTCTTGTCTCCAAGTACCCCAAATAAACAAAATTATAAAAGAGATATGTGTGTGTGCTTGCATGCACATTTGTGTATACTTTATAATGCATACATACACACATACATGTATAAATACACACATATATATGTATCTGATAGAGGAATGAAGAGTTCTGAGGGCCAGGGCCAGGTGACCTGGAACTGGAAATGGGCAGATCCTGGTGCTGAGTCCAGGACCTCACAGGGAGCCAGAACATGTTAGTTATCTTCCTGGCTTTACTGTTGATTGCCTTGAGCAAGTGACTTTTGCATCTTTAAGACTTTATTCTCAGCTTTTAATCATTGTATGGAATAGGCAATGGGGGCACTCAAAGCCCTCAGATTCCCTTCATCGTGGATGTCTGCTCCATGGGTGCAGCTGAGTTGGTGGAACGCTTCCTATCACACAGGAAGTCCTGGGTGTGACCTTTGGTGTCACAAAGCCAAACCAAAACTAAAATGTAAGTACTATATGCTCACTCTCATATGTGGATGTTTAGAAGGGTGATTTTAAAATTCTTTTTCATTTTCACATGTGCATTTAATACATTTTGGTCATTTTCATTATCCCCCATTTCTCTCTCTGATCTTCCTGCTCTGTTGCCGAATTCACTCTTGTCAAGCAGCCCTTTTGTACTTTGATGTCTACTTTTTTCCTTCACCATGTGGGTTTATTTCATTTTTTATTTTTAATTATTTTTTCATTTATTTTACATACTGACCACAGTTTCCCCTCCCTCCTCTCCTCCCATTCTCTCCCTACCTCCTATCTATTCCCTCCACATCCACTCCTCCTCCATCATCTCCATTCAGAAAAGGGCAGGCCTCCAGTGGGGATGAACAAAACATGGCACATCAAGTAGAGGCAAGACCAAGCTCCTCCCCCCATGCCAAGGCTGGGTGAGGTAATCCAGCATGGGGAACAGGTTCCCCTAAACCTGCTAAGCACCAGCTGATAAACACCTTCAGTTATATTGCAGGATACAAGATTAACTAAAAAACTAGTAGCCTTTCTACATAGAAGTGGTAAATGGGATAAGAAAGAAATCAGAGAAACAACACCCTTCACAATAGCCACAAGTAATAGAAAATATCTTGGGGGTAACTCTAACCAAACAAGTTAAAGACCTATATGACAAGAACTTTAAGTCTTTGTTGAAAGAAATTGAAGAAGATATCAGAAAATGAGAAGATCTCCCATGCTCATGGATAGGTAGAATTAACATACTAATAATCGCAATCATACCAATAGCAATCTACAGATTCAATACAATTTTCATCAAAATCCCAACATAATTCTTCACAGACCTTGAAAGAACAATACTCAACTTCATATGGAAAAACAAATAATCCAGGATAGCTAAAACAATCTTGTACAATAAAGAAACTTCCAGAGGTATCATCATCCCTCACTTCAAACTCTACTATAGAGGCATAGTTACAAAACCAGCTTGGTATTGGCATAAAAACAGACATGTGGACCAATGGAATCGAACTGAAGACCCTGACATTAATCCGCATACCTGTGAACACCTGATTTTTGACAGAGAAGCCAAAACTGCTCAATGGAAAAAAGAAAGCATCTTCAACTAATGGTGCTGGTATAACTGGAAGTCCACATGTAGAAGAATGCAAATAGATCCATACCTATTGCCCTGCACAAAACTCAAGTCCAAGTGGATAAAAGACCTCAACAGTTCATAAATCCAGTTACACTGAACCTGATAGAAGAGGAAGTGGGAAGTAGCTTGAATGTGTTGGTACAGGAGACAACTTCCTGAATATAACACCAGTAGCACAGACACTGAGATAGACAACTAACAAATGGGACCTGCTGAAACTGAAAAACTTCTGTAAGGTAAAGGATACTGTCAATAAGACAAAATGGTAGCCTACAGAATGGGAAAAGATCTTCACCAACCTCACATCTGACAGGGGTGATCTCCAAAATATATAAAGAATTCAAGGACTGAGACATAAAAACCCAAATAATCTAATTAAAAATGGGTACAGATCTAAACAGAATTCTCAACAGAAGAATCTCAAATGACTGGAAGACACTTAAGAACTGTTCAACATCCTCACTCAGGATGATATTTTCTAGTTCCTGTCATTTGCCTGCAAATTTCATGATGTTGTTTTTTTTCACATCCAAGTAATACTCCACTGTGTATATGTACCACATTTTCTTTATCCATTCTTCAGTTGAGGGGAATTTAGGTTGTTTCCATGTTATGGCTATTATGAATAATGCTGCTATGAACATAGTTGAGCAAGTATCCTTGTGGTATAATTGAGCATCCTTTGGGTATATGCCCAAGAGTGGTATCATTGGGTCTTGAGGTAGATCGATTCCCAATTTTCTGAGAAACCACCATACTGATTTCTAAAGTGGCTGTGTGGGGTCTTGCCCCACTGGGAACTTAGGTCACCCCTGAAGAGGTGGCCTGGAGGTGAGGAAAGGTAAGTGCACCACTCGCCAATTTCCCAGCCTTCCTCTTACCTGGAGACAATCAGATGCAGTGGGGAGTCAAGTCAAGCAAGAACTCGTTTATTGTTAGGCAGTAAGCCTCTTTTATAGAAGAAAAACCTCAGAACCCTAGGAGGAGGTGGAAGGAACCAACCAATCATTTTAAAGTTTACCCTATACTCATTTCCTTGTTTAGGAGTTGTTTATGCACTGACATCATCTCCTGATCTTTGTATCTTATCTCAGCTTAAACAACTTGGGCTAACTTCCTCTCAGCACCATCTTTGTAGCTCATGCATGTCCCACAGTGGCTGTACAAGTTTGTACTCCCACCAACAGTGGAGGAGTGTTCCCTTTGCTCCACATCCTCTCCGACATAAGCTGTCTTCAGTGTTTTTGATCTTAGCCATTCTTACAGCATAGTCACTAGGGAAATGCAAATCAAAACAACTCTGAGATACCATCTTATACCTTTCAGATATAGAAAGAAACAGTAATGACAGCTTATGTTAGAAAGGATGTAGAGTAAGGAGAACACTCTTCCACTGCTGGTGGGAGTGAAAACTTGTACAGCCATTTTGGAAATCAATATGGCAGTTTCTCAGAAAATTGGAAATCAATCTACCTCCAGGCCCAGCTTTACCAGTTTTGAGCATATACCCACAGGATGCTCAGTCATACATACCACAAGGATACTTGCTCAACTGTGTTCATAGCAGCATTATTTGTAATAGCCAGAACTTGAAAACAACCTAGATTCCCCTCAACCGAAAAATGGATAAAGTAATTTGGTACATTGACACAATGGAATATTACTCAGATGTAAAAAGCAATGACCTCATGAAACTTGCAGGCAAATAGAGGAATTAGAAAAAAATTATTCTGAGTGAGGTAACCCAGACTCAGAAAGACAAACATGGTATGTACCCACTCATAAGTGGATATTAGGAGTAAAGTACAGGATAACAAGCCTACAATCCACAGTCACAGGAGGTTAGATAATAAAGAGGGCCCCAAAAGGAATGCACGGTTTTCCCTGAGAAAGGGAAATAGAACAGATCTCCTGGGTAAACTGGGGTTGGGGTGGGGGTTGGGGTGGGGGATGGGAACATGAGGGATTGGGTTGGGTGGGCTGGGCATGGGAGGTAGTTGGGGGCAGGATGGAGTGAGAAAGTAATGAAAGAGAAATCTTGATAGAGGGAACATTTGAGAGAAACCTGGTGATGTCTTCTTTTGACCCACCAATTTTCATCAGAGTTTATTGGATGTGTGTGGGATGCTATTTAATGGCATGTGGGTGACTTAGCAGAGACTACACTACTGAAGAAAATGACATCCCTTCCCCAGAACCCATTAACTGCCCATAGACCCACAATGAGGTTTGTGACTACCTCCATGATTTCATATAGTTAAAACAGCCAAGTAATTTCATACCTGATCCTAACACTCAATCAATTAGTCATTTAGAAGATGTTGATAGAGTACTTAACGTATACCTGACATCACATTTTGTCCTGTAGATACAAGATTAAATAAACAATGATTGATGATGACAATAATTTGACCTGAATATAGAATAATGGTCACTAGAGGGAGTGGGGACAGGCACCGGCTGAAAAATAGGCAGTTCATTAAATGCTAGTCGTCTACACTGTAGTCACAGTTAGATGACTACAGTTTTCAATAATCTATTATATATTTTGTGAATAAACAGGTGAGAGGAATTTGAAAAGCTCTAAATACAATATACTAAGGTAAAAGGCAAGGATAGATATTCAAGGTTGTCCTCTGACCTCTACATGCATGCTGTAGTATTTCATATGTATGGAGATATAAATATTAATTAATCTGGTTTGCTTAGCACATGTGATCTGAATACATTGAGTATTTTATCACATTGTACCCTGTAAATCTGTGCAGTTGAGATCCCAAGTACATATGTGTGGCTCTGTGATCAACAGTGTCAAGTTGTAGAAAAGGAGACCAGGTGACTGGTGTGGAAGTTCAGACAGGGAAGTGGAGGGACTGTGTGGGAGGTGTGCATAGGTGGGATGGAGCGCTGTAGAGAGAAGGGGCGTTACAGGAAAGGCTGAGAGTTGATAAACGCACAAAGTGAAAGATAAACTCAATGAAGGTAAGCATGGGTGAAGAGGGGAAGAGACAGACACTCTGGAGGAGCAGATACAAGCCAGGAAAAGGAAGGTGGGAGGCAGTTTAGAACATTACACCTAAAACAGATCTGAGGAGCTATCAGAGGGAGATACCTAGAATTGTGTCTTAAGCATACAAATAACTCAGTCTTTCAAAGGATTCTGGAGAGAGAACACATGGTAGGTGAGGGGTTCACATGTACTAGGAGACCAAAACAGGAGTCAGAGTGAAAAAATATACAGAATTTAACCTGATTACTGCTTCCTTCAGTTTAAGTCAATGCTTACAAGGCTGTACAATAGAGCTAGAGTAGACTGACTTCCTCTAAATAGGTGAAGTAAACAAACCTTGGTTTTGGAGAAAAAAAGGAATCAACACTCAGAAGGATGTTAGGCAAAATCAACTCTTATGCTTCCTCTTATGAATATTCAGTAGAACACAGGTCTTTGTTAGACACGCAGCTAGCAGAGGCCAAGGCTGTATCTACAGAGGGGCCTGGGGTCCCCTTAATGAGATAACACAGTGATGGAAACAGAAAACAATAGAATGGGAGTAGAAGGGGAGTTTACTTGGGCTTCAGACTATCTTTCCAATATTCTACTCCACAGCTGTAGTGAGTAGTATTTAAGGTGTTGTGACAGTCAGGACTTAGAGGGCACTTACCTTCTTGTGCCCAAATTGTCTGGCCCAGGAAGACTGCTGGAAGAGAACCATTGGTAAAAATTTAAACTTCCAATATCCAAACTCTGATACAAATCTCCCTGCATAATGAGTTATGGAGTAAATCTGTATATATGTAAGTATGTATGTATGTGTGTATGTATGTATGTATGTGTATATGTGTCTGTCTACCTATCTATTCATTTATCTACAACCTATCTATTATCTATATAGCTATTATCTATAGTAATTTCAGTTATCTCTCTATAATCTATTATCTGTCTACTATGTATGTATGTATGCATATATGTATGTGTTGATCATCTCTACCTACCCATATAGGTATTATCTATTAATTGATAATCTTTTATCAGTTATCTGCAATCTATCAATCAATCTGCCAGTCAGTTTCAATCACTGATTTATCACCTCTATAGATAATCTAGTTTTGTCTGTGTTGTATCATTTCTGTCTAGCTCTAGCTTTCAAATGTATGTCTGTATATCCACAAGAATATTTTTTTCCAAAAACAAACACACCTTGAGGGTCACCCTTACATTTTCAGTCTCTCTGTCTCTACCCTGCAGTCATCACAAAACCCAGACAGTATGAAATGTATTGAATAGAGGCAAGCAAGCCCCACAAGATTCTAACAGAGACCCAGTTACTACCACCTCAGCAGAATGATAAGGAGATTAAACTATCCTTGGCTGCCACCAAAATCAGCTAGCTTTTGTGTTAAAAGAGGTTCTAGCTTTTGTGGGAGCTCTGTCTTTCTTGCTAACCCAGTTTCATTTCAGGACTCACCGAGACACAGGAAGGTGGTGTCCTGTGGAGCCATGATGTTGATATGTCCTCAACTTCCTGTCTGTGTGCATTCACAGACAACAGATACTTTTGAGACTGTAGGACTCACAGGATGTGCGAGGTCTGAGTTCCTGACCACAGGATTTCTACATCTTTTGCTCCATAGGCAAATGGAACAGTTCCTTTTTGAAAAGTTCTCAGCTGCTCTTGGGTGGACTTTTAGAAGAGACCAAGAATCCTGTTTATATTTCAGACATGAAAGGAGGATTTTCCTCAATGCAATGTCAATTGGTGCTCAAATTCCTGTCTCTTTTTGCACCTGAAATTTCTTTTTAATTTTTGCTGGCAGTCTTTATTATGCATTCCAGTGTATCTCATAACTCACTTATGAGGCACAGCCTGGACTCAAAATGAGTTCCTTCTCCTTCACCTTGCCAAATGAGGGAATACAAGTGTGCACAACCATATTTGTTTTTAACCATTTTTATTCTGATTTTTAAGGGAGTAAAGGTTTATTTGACTAACAGTTCCATCATTATGTGTGAGTTACAGAGACAGTCACTTGAACAGGTCACATTGCACCCATAGTTAGAACAGAGATAAAGGAATACATGCTTATACTCAGCTTGCTTTATTCACTCTTAGACAGTCCAGAATTTCCTGCTTAGGAAATGGTGGCATTCCCTAAATATTGGGAAGATCTCTTCACAATAATTAACCAATGGCTGAGGGGTCCCCACTGGATCAGGCCCTCTGAATGGGTGAGACAGTTGATTGGCTTGATCTGTTTGGGAGGCATCCAGGCAGTGGGACCAGATCTTGTGCTCATTGCATGAGTTGGCTGTTTGAAACCTGGGGCCTATGCAGGATTGTTTGGCTCGGCCTGGGAGGAGGGGACTAGACCTACCTGGACTGAGTCTACCAGGTTGACCTCAGTCTGTGGGGAAGGCTTTGCCCTGGAGGAGATGGGAATGGGGGGGGGGTTGGGGGGAAGGTGAGGGGGACGGGAGGGGGGAGAACAAGGGAATCCGTGGCTGATATGTAGAACTGAATTGTATTGCAAAATAAATTAATAAAAAAAAAAAAGAACAATTATCAGGTAAGAATTAAAAAAAAAAATAATTAACCTAAATAGGAAAAATTTCCCCAGACATGCCCATACACCAGCTCACTGATTTAGACAAACTCTCTGCCACACTTTATTTTAAAGTGATTCTAGATTGTGGCAGGATGACATTTAAAACTAAAAATCACAATAGCAATAATACCAAGATAACACTACCTTTTACAATTGCCTAAAAGATTTAGACACAAGTCTCACCACTTTATCCAGCTATATCACTCTTGAGAATATACCTGATGGACTTTCAATCATTAGCACACCATGAACACAGCCTCTCACAGCACCCCTTCCCATCCTCTGGCTCTTACATTTGTTTCACTGCCCCTTATTTTATGATGTTCCCTGAGTCCTGTAAGAAGTTGATATGCTTTACAAGACAGCCATTTGTAGGAGAGGAATCAGCATTGAATATGATCAAAGTACATTGTATGCACATGTGTAATTTCCTTAAAATTAAAGAAGTCTTATATTAAGAAGTTCTTTGTTTTTTTCTCACTCTTTTTCTAGTTTTGTCACACACACAAGCTATGAGAAATATGTATAAAAATGTCATAATGAAGCCTAATACTTTGTGTGATAATGTAAAAAGTTAAGACAAAATTAAAAGTAAAAATATAATTAAAATCTAGTTTCTATATATAAAGTTATATGTGTGCTTATCTTTCCGAATCTGGCTTATTTTGATACACATAATGATTTCAAGTTGCAACTATTTTCCTGCAAATGTTCTATTTGATTTTTCTTTATTAATACAGAAATTTTGTTGTCACTTGAACCTAAAATCATCTCTCTGCTTCATTCTTGGAAAGGAGCTTGGATTAAAGAGACTTCAAATTAAATTCCATCTTCATGATGTTCACAGTCCCTGTAATCTTAACTTTGGGAGGCCGAGGCAGGAAGACTGCAAGTTGGAGGCAAGCAGACAGACAGACAAACAGAGATGCCTCTCATAGTCCATGCAGGATGGACTGAAAATGCAAATATCCAAAAGAAAAATATGCAAAAGAAAATATATGGGGTAGTGTCACACCTTGGTAGGTCATCCTAAATTGTATAAGAGAGCAGGCTGAGCAAGGCATGAGGAACAACCCAGTGTGTGGTGAATCTCCATGGTGTCTGCTTCAGGTCCAGCCTCCAGGTTCCTGCCTTTGCTTCCATGAATGGATTTTGTCCTCAGATTGTGTAAGATGTGTAATCTAAATTGTTATGGTCCTGGAGAAGTCCCACAAAAGACCACCATCCACCTATGCAATCAACAAGAGTGTTTATTATCTCAAGAAAATTTCAGCATGCTGGGGCTGGCCATTTTACACAAAGGTAAAATGGCTATGACCCTGAGTGGGATGTGTGGGCTTCCTCTAAGCACAGCTAAGGAGTTCTTAGGGAGGTTAGGTTATTTTAGATATTATTGGCTCAAGCAAGTGGCAATCATATTAGTACATTCTAATTGGCTAGGGCTAGTCAGGGGCTGGTTAAGGCTATAGTTTTTCCATTTTTGGGCAGGCCTGTACAAGTCCCAGGATTTGTCCTTTTTATGGTTATAACCTTGAGCTGTTGTGGCTGAGGTCTGGTACTGCATGTACCAGGCTCCTTGTCCTTGCTGTTGAAGGTGTTGGAAAATGATTGTCCTTTGTTCATGGCTCTTTCTCAGAAACTGCCTGCTCAGTTCTAAGAAGTAGGAACTGAGGCCTAGTTCTTAACTGAGTTATTAGGGCAGGTTGTCATGATATTTGCCTGGCACTCTCACAAATAAACCTATCACCCCAAATAGCTTTTGATCATGGGGTTTTATCACAGCAATATAAAACATATCAAAGATTGGTAGTGTGTACATAGATTGTGTGACTCTTTCTGGAGAGATATGAGAAAACATCTGTTGATCCCAGGTATGGCACCAATGGCATCTCAGAAAATGATCCAACCCGGTCTATTTCACTGAATTAATGAGTTTATTAGATTTAATTACGGGATCATGGATGGTAGGATAATTATTGGAGCATGGGTGCCTCAAAGGTGGCTGCATCTCAAAAAGCCCATGCCAGCAGGGGTGAAGACTCATGAAATCTTCATTCCTGGAGCTACCTGAATGAGTTGCTGGCAACTTGATTAATTGGAAGATCTCCTCTCCTCAGCTAGTGTCATTGCACATAGAACCTTGGGAAGGGCCCTGTCAATATTGTGTGTTTCAGGATCTTCCTGAGACTTGTGAGATTTTTGTTTAATGAGTTCTCTTCCAAAGGCAATGTTTCAGTTCAGAGGAACTAAGTTTTCAAAATCATAGCAATAGAAACATGTGAGAAGGAGGAGATTTCTTACCTCCATTACATCCTAGAAAATGATTCTCAGTAGAGAAGTCTACATTGAAATATTAAAGAAATACATAGATGCTACTGTTGAGAGAAGACTTTGACAAACACCATTTGGTATACACAGAACAGTATATGATAAAGTCCAGTCTTAAGAGTGAGATTCTTGAGTATCAGCAGGAATGGAAGAAAGTCAGGATAGGGTAATTGTGTGTAAATATGATCAAAATACAGATACATATAATAAATTGTCATGAGATTCAGCATGTTGTATAACATCATTACATATTAGAAATATATACTAATAAAATAGTAGAGTCTCTTGTTGATAGGGAATTGTGAAATACTCAGCATGGTTATAGCTTCAAGTAGGTCCTGATTTAAAGCTAGTAAGGATGTAGAGTTCACTAGAGTGAAATGATATAGAGACCCATGGATTAAGAAATAGAGTTAGATTTCTGTCCAGTGGACAGTGAGGAACATAAAATTTGTAAGTAAAGGAAAGCCACTCTCAGAACTATATTGGAATAATGAAGGATAGTCCCAAAGTTAGAGACCCATGTCTTCAGATTCTAACTTTTGTTTCACTGCAAATATCAGTCTTGTTAGAGAAAGGGCTATGGTTACTACAGAAAACTTCCTCAGACCGTTCTTTGGGAACTCATGGAGTGTGGACAATCTTTGATCTCAGCTTATAATTTTTCGATTTCTGTGTACACAGTGGGATCTGTGGAAAATTCCTTGTGAATCTGGGAAATGGGAGTGGTCAATTTTTGTTTGAAGATCATCTGCTCAAATTTTAAGTATGTCACATCCTGCACTTCTTGTCTTTCAGGGTCCTAGAAAGAGGTAAATGTTGAGTCCTGTTTGCACATAATCTTGAAGAAAATAAAGGAATATTAGATTGTATGGAAGAGAGAAGACTCAGGAGGACCCACCTGTCTGTTCAGTGTTGCTCTCACTTCAGAGTCTTGGTCCATGATGGCTGCATTTTAGAGGACAGAAGTAATCAAACCCATTTAGTAAATAAAGTACTTCTGCACTCTCATTTCAAATGCAAAGTACTAGTGAGAGATATGGTAAAACCCAAAGTTGGCCACCTGCTCCAAATGAGAATCAGATGTCCTGCCTCTGTATAGTCACAGCCACATCCCATAATGCTGCACCCTGGTAATTCTTTCTTCAGAATACTCTCTTTCTCTCTCTTTTGTTGCCCACTCACTCTTGTAAAACATCCTCCTAGATATTATTTGGATGTGGAGATTCAAAAGATACAGAGAGAAATTAGCCAGTAGTCTGAGAGCTGAGGGGAAGTGCAAGGGCTCTGGTGTACTCTTCAGAAAGCCCTGCCTCAGTTTCCCTGTCTTGGCCCAAGTACCCAAGAAAAGAAATGTAAATGAAGAATACATACCTGCATTTCTCTGCTCTTGTTTCTTCACACTACTCAGATGACATTCACTGGCTTGTTCCTGAGACTTGCTCTTTTTGGCAGAGCAACAAGAATAAAGAAGGATGATGAGGAAGACAAGGATCATGGTCACTGATAGCCCAAACAGAATATACAGGTTCCTGTGGTTATCTGGAGGAAGATGTGAACCCAATAAG